CAGTGGTTGCACCAGTCTACACTCCCACCAACAATGGAGAAGGAAGGGTTCCTTTTCCCCATAGCCCTATCAGCATGTGCTATTGGTTGATTTCTTTTTTTTTTCTTTTTCATCTTTATTAAGTTCATTGCTACATATTAGGTATACAACACAGTTACATTCATCATTGGGATCTTATACCTATCAGGTTATTTTTCTCCATTCCCCTGCCCTCCCTTCAGCCTCTCCACCCTTCCCTGTTTACAAAGACATTGTTTCCATGTTTTTCCTTTTCACAAATTTTTTTCTTTTCCCCTTTTACCTTTCCCCTACCCCTTCCACTTCCTCTACTCTTTTAGACTTTTCTTCCTAAACACAATATCAATTATACATTTTAATCCTTATTTACACTTTTACTTTTTCATACCAGAAACTATTCAGTATTTACACATGTATCCTATTTATTTCACTTAAGCGTATGGCTTCAATGTGCATCCATTTAGCTATAAATGTCTCCAGTTTCTCATTCTTTATGGCAGAGTGGTATTCCATTTTATTTTTTAAAAACCAAATCTTTATCCAGTCTCCAGTTGATGGGCATTTGGGCTGTTTCCAAGTTTCTGCTATTACGAACTGTGCTGCTACAAACATGGGTGCACATGTATCACTGTGGCATGAGTCTTTTAATTCTTTTGGGAAGATACGCAGCGGAGGAATAGATGGGTCAAATGGAACCTCTAATTCTGTTTGAGGTATCTCCGTATTGATTTCCACAGTGGTTGCACCAATCTACACTCCCACCTACAGTGAAGGATTCCTTTCTCCCCACAACCCCACCAGCATTTGTTATTGGTTAATTTCTTGATAATAGCCATTCTTTCTGGAGTGAGGTGGAATCTCAGCATTGTTTTAATTTGCATCTCTTGAATGACCAGTGATGTTGAACATTTTTTCATATATTTACTGTTTCTACTTCTGAAAGACAGGTTCAAGTGATTATTTTTGTGCGTTGTGTGTTTTGTTTGGTTGGGGTTTTTTTTAGACCGGGTTTCACTATGTAGCCTAGGGTGGCCTTGAACTCTCAGCACTCCTCCAGGTATGAGTGATCTGAAGAGAAGTAGAGAGGAGGTTACTATTTGAAGGATGTTCCTCCAAAGTGTGGCTGGGGGAAGTGTACCGGGAGGCTCCAGGAAGTGCTTTGGTTTTTAGCAAGATTCTACATACCCTTTTCACTCCAGATTCTAATAGAAGGCAAACTAAGTTGCCTACTAGATAAACTGAGCTGGAAATCCTTTGGAAAGAGGTGCCTTGTGGGATCCAAGTGCTTAACTTTTTTGTTCACAGCCCAGGGAAGTCAGAGGCCCCAGGGGAGGGAATGAGAGGGTTGCACGTGCCTGCTTCTTCCAGGAGCCCTTTAGCACTGGTCGGGAGACCTCAGGGACCTGTCTCTGCCTCAGCTCCTGACCTCTGTGGGACAGAGGCCTCTGAGACCAGGGCCACAGCACAGGAGACTAACGCCAGAAGGGAAGGGCTCAGTGCGAGCTCCTTTGAGAGGTAGATAGAAGGGTATCCCAGGGAGGGCTGAGGTCCTGTGATGGGGGAGGAAGAGGCTGCAATAAGGGGAATGAACCTGCATGGGAAGGAGCAGGTGTTTGGGAGCTGCTGGGAAGGAGATGTTGAACGCAAGCCATTCCCAGAGGGCTGAGGCTGGAGGTGAAAGCTCTGGCCCATCCAGTCCGCCTCCCTAGGCAAGGTCAGCCCCTAACCCCTACCTGCCGCTGCCAGAGGCCGGGAAGTCTGTGCCTGGAGAGAGCTCTGGCTAACAGAGTTCTGGGCCCAAGGGTGGGGCAGACCTGAAGACCTGAAGAGTCTCCACCAGGCCGGGGCCCTAGGCTGCAGCTGCAGCGCAGAGGTGGGTGAGCCTCTGCCTACACCCTGCCCTTTCCTTGCTGGGGAACTGTGGCTGAAGTCTCCGTCCCAGCAGGATTAGGGGACCCGCTGCAGGTCTTGTCGCGGGCACGCAGTGGAGGGGGAGTCTTTGCTGAGACGTGTGTTCCAGGGTCCCTCTGAGGAACTAAGGCTGTGGAATCGCTGACTGGAAAGCCACGGAGAGTTCGCACAAGGGTCCCTTGCACCGGCTGCCAGCGCCAGGCCCCCAGTAGAGCTCGCGCCCGCCTACCGCGCGCACCACCACCTTCCTGCACGCGCGCACACACATGCACCACCCACATGCACACCACTCCTCGCACGAGAGCGGGCTCCCTCCTGTCCAGGAAGACAGAAGGCGGCGGGGCCATTTTGGGAAGGGGAGAAACCAAGAGTTGCGAGGCGAGCAAAGCTGAAGCCACGGAGCTGGGCGGGGTGGAAACCCGGGGATGGTCGTCCAGTTAGTCCAGGCGCGCTTCCTGGAGGAGGAGGGGGAGGGGGAGGGGAGGAGGGGCCCACTACTCCTGGGGTTAGAGCTGCAGAGATGTCAGGACAGTGAGCGCCTCTCTGATGCTTGATACCATTACCTGCCTGGACCTG